TAATGTGAAAGCAGATATCCTTGCAGTTCATCCAGATTTCTGATCCATTAAAAGGAACTGCAAATTCTTGGTCTGAAGAAGCCAGCAGCACACAGTTTTATGGGGTAATTTCCTTTTGTACCAAAAAAGTATTTTCATATATGCTTTCAAACCTTTCAAGTTTACTGGGAGTCCCATCATTCTTTGACTGAGAGGCAGGGGAGATAAGCATGCCTAATTTATCTTTCCTGTACTATTGCTTATTCATGACATATAAAGCATGCCCCTTCCTTTTAGTCCCCTCTCTATAAGCAGAGATCGAGAGATCTTGTTTTTTCCCCATTGCACATCTCTAGACTACCACTAAGCCAAACTAAATGTGCCACTGAAAAAGAGGGTAAACCATTGCTCTATATAATGGCATTCAAAAATCAGAAAAAAAAATCAAGAAATTGAAACATTATTTAAAATTAGATTTCCCGATTACAGTAATGCACTATTATCTGCACTGGCCTTTTTTTTTTTTTTTTTTTTGTTAAGCACCAAATTTGACATGCTTTGATCAGCCCTGCTGCCTAATACTAGTCAAGTTACAGGGCTTCTTACTAACATGTAACATGCCAAGTGTGCAATATGCTAAACGTGAAAATCTTGTTTTTCTAAGTTTACCACTTAGGTTATCAAACTGTTTTTGTAAAGTGGCTTCCTGTAGTATTATTTTAAAAGATGTTGTCTAGTTACAAACAACAATTCTGACTGCAAATAGCTATTTAGTCCTTTCGATAAAGATGCAAGAAGGACCAATTATTTACTACATTTAATGTAAGGAGCAACCTCTTGTTCTAGAACTGGCTGCTGGCCTAAGCCAAAGTTCACTGCTATCCATGGAGGGGTTTTAGTGACTCCAAGACGCCTCAAGGTTGGCCTCTGAACATAATGGATGGACACAGCTGCTTATAACATTGAGGGTCCATGGTAGGAAGATACAGCAGCGATAGCAGACCTTTCAGCTTGCTTCAGCAATACTCTGGGCATTGGTAGGGGTTTTCTTCAGTGACACCATAATCTTGTTCTTTTAAAAGCCAAGCTGTCTTCCGAATGGGCTAGCACCCATCTGGATGGGCATCACAAGTCTGTGTATTCTCAGTTTTTGTTTGGTGAGTATTAAGTTGCAATCCAAAATCCTGAACACAATGAATTTATCCACAGAATGCTGTACAACTGAATGCCAAACAATGAAAAGAATAAAAATCCCCACTGCAGTACATAATTCTCTCTTGCAAATAGCACAAATTCAGGATCCAGGAACTATGGTAAAAGGTTATTGCTGAGTACTTCTATTCAGGAACTCAGTAATTGTAACACAAACCAACCAGAAATAATGTTCCACATCAGTCTGACAGCAACTGCTCAACAAAGGAAGACTTCTGCTTAAAGTCCTTATGCAAGTTACTATTTTGTGTCTAAAGAATATATTGCTTCCTCTCTATTGCTCTGAGTTTACTCAGCAGTTTATAGTACCCGCAACATGGAGAATTTTATTGCTCTTGTGCTAAAAACGTATTTCCCCTTATTGCTGAAATCTGTTAGGAGAAATAGTAAAAATAATAACAAAAAAAATTTGAAAAATCCTCACCCAAGCTTTGAAGATGAATATCTGAAAAAAAACTGACTACAGTGGATGTTGCCCATCAAGATACAACCTGTTACTAACTTCAGGTCAAACGTGTTAGTTATTTAAACTAAATTACGCATTAAGAAAAAAGTCTTTTGTCGTTACGATGCAGATATGAAAGATACTTCACTGTACATGGAATGGTGGATCTAACACCCCTGCTCTTATGCACGGGTGTTGTTTGATGGGACAACAAAATGACAGAATCCTTCAAGCTGGCTGGATTTTTGCCAGTTTCAGAGGGATCTTGGATGGATACTGGCACCTCACCACAGAGGGCTGGGGCCTACACTGTAACTCTGAGGTGACAGCAGAGAATTGCTTAATTCTGCAGGGTGTGAAAAGTGGCTTGTCTGTCAAGCGTTTTTTTTGTGTGCAAGTGAGGTAGGCAGCTTTGTACTGGCAGCTCTGCCCCGACTCCCAAGAGATCGTTCACAGGTGTGTTACAGGGCATCTATCCAGTACTGTAAACCATGATAAAGTTGGTCTGATAGCTGTGGGCAAACCTATGCTGTTGACTTCCAGAAGGATTTTTCTGGCTTATGCTGCACTGTTTCCATTTAAGAACGTATTTCTGAAAGAGACAACATCCTCACTGGAGGTCACAGCAGTAGCTTGGGTGGCATAATCATGTTTCTCATCTGTTTGTGGTGAAAGGTAACCATGCACTACTCCTCAAACGAGCGCAAGTCACATCCCTACGAGCTAGCTTTGTGGGACTTCCACAATTAATCTTCTTTTCCTCCGTTTGACTCACGCTGCTCCTCAGGAGACGAGCTTCCAATTACAAATCTCTCTGCTCTGGCACAACGGAAAAGGTCCGCTTCCCTGCCACTATGGAGAGCCTCTGCAGATTTGAGCAGCTTGTGGAGCAAGGAAGATGACAAGGACACTAGGTGAACCAGCATGAGAAGAGGGGACAATATTATCTCCCTCTGTGCTGTCTTCTTCTGGCTTCCCTACCACCTAGGTGTTATGAAGATAAAAACACTAGTGCCTGTGAGGTTATCCAAGAGAATGAGAACAGATCTGCATAAGCAAAACAACAGTCACCCTTGGGACTGAATTTTGGTCACAGTTGTAGATGCTCATCTTCATCACACTTTTTAGCAATGTGATAAAGAACAAATGGGGGAAAAAAGGCCAGGGTAAACTTTGCATGACTAACATTTTTTGCTTCTAAAAGTGCCATTCTGCATTATTCAGCCTTTCTACATTATTCAGCTCATGACTTTTACTGCCATTTATTCCCAATACTCTGCATACTTGCAAAACTGCACGCATACATAGCACGGATATTTATGAAGTGATTATTTCTTATACAAAAATTCATAACAAAATGCAATGACTAGAGTTTCATTAGCATTCAGAAGTAGATAAAGAACACCAATATCCTACACTGAGCAGAGGCCATAGTCTAACTGTACTGAGCAGCTGTAAATCGCAGTGAAGCCAAGGGAGCTGCAAGTTCACAGCTCTACTGGACCATGCCATGCAATTATTAAACTAATCAGATTACAAAGTAAGAGCCAAATATCATGAAGATTGAACCAAGTAAATAATGGAATTTGAACCCAGCATTGCAACTAAAATTCATTATTGCTCATAAAAATCTCTACAGAGCCTTGTTTACAGACAACTCATTCACATTTGAGATTCAGCTGTGTGTATAGCGTATGATTCTTAACGTCACAGAAACTTTGCCACAAAAAGCTACAGTCATCCAAACGTCCATGTGAAAAGGACAGACTCCATTTGGAAAAATCCAGACCAGCAACACAGTTGTCTCTACTATCTATACTATACAGGTATATTTTTTCATTGAACTGTAAATATTGCTATTTTTACACTTAAGTTTGTTGTTTTTTTTAAAAACTGTAATGGAAGATACTGAAGCAACAACACAGTATGCTGACTTTGACATTCAAGGGAATATAACCTCCTACTGATGCCAGGGCATTAACACATTGAGCTCCCATCAACACTAATGGAAGTGGCACTGTAAATTCCCATGCGCTGACATTAGGGTACACCTTACGTTTCATGAAGACATCCGCCAGGAAGATTTTCTCTCTGACAATCAAGTCTTCAAATTAGAAAACAATGTTTTATTTCTAGTGCATTCTAATGTGGCTTCAGTGAAAGGTTAGAAGCGGTTTGAAATTTAACCATTCATGAGAGGAAGCTCTGCTTTTAAGACCAGAACTATCATCCTACAATGAACTGACATGCGTACAGTGCGAAGAATCACAATCTGTAATGGATAAAACTGCCAGAAAAGGAGAAAATATTGTTTCATGTTGCAGTTCTGGTTGCATACAATTACGAACCAGATATACTCTGAGAATTTATAAGCTCCAGTATTTTAAATTATATAGCAGAACAATGAAAACAAGCAGTACTTGATAACAAACTTACGGGGAACCATTTCATGTAGATGCTAAATACGTGTTGCAAGCAATTTGTAGGTTATTTTATTAGATATTTTCTTATACACTTCTGAAAAGATAAACTTGTCTGAGAAACTTAGTGTTGCATCTATTACAAACGCATAGCCAAAAGAGGCCATATTGTTTCATCAATTTCAAAGATTCCCCCCTGAATTCCTTTTAAAATTAATAGTATAATGAGTTCTGATGTCCCATATCTAAGTGAAAACATATGGCTGACTTTTGAAAAGGAAGGCAAAGCACATCTTCTGCTTTAACATCCAGCCAGAACTCAGGACCGAACAGGTAACCCTTTAAAACAATTACCAAGCTAATTCATGCTGAGATGTAAAATAAAAAGCTATACAAGTACTTCCTCATTTAGAGCAAATTTGTTGCAGAGATTATTACAATAAATACCATATAAATCAGTACAATTGGCCATTATTTTGAAGAGTATTCTGATGGGGTAACAGGACATGGGTTTTCTTTTCTTTTTTGTTTTAAAAATAAAGAGGGAAAAAATCCTGACAACAGACTGTAATGTACAGTATGACTAACCTCAATCACATAAACAATTTCAAAGGAGGTATGCTGTTTCAATCTAATTTTAATTAGCAAACTTACTTAACATAAAATCGTGGCAAACATGGCAAAGTCTGGGTAATATAACAGAAAAGACCCTGAGCAACATTACAAATCTATAAGAACACTGATTATTTTGATTCTGGAAAGCTCCCTTAAACCACTCGATTCATTTTGGTCACTGGGGTTTTCCGTTTACAAAAAGGTCAGTGCATCCTGTGGTTTTTATATGAACCCATCACACACCGTTTAATGAATGCATCTAAACCAAAGACAGTGTTGCAAGAATGTCTGGAAAGTAACATGTTAAGGAGCGTCCTCCTAGCTGCCAGTCAGACATCACTGGGTGATCTTGCCCTCTGAGACAGGTTAGAAGGAATACAGCCACAACAGATGAGCCAAAGTGCTTTCTGTATCTCCTGGTTTCTAAAAGCATATATCACAGGATTGATGATGGAATTGTAGGTAGCTGGCAGAAGGGTGGCATAGGTGTATATAGAAGGGTAGGTGTAATCTGCTATTAAAGAATAGAGTGTAAAAGGCATCCAGCAAGCAGCAAAAGTCCCCAAAATAATGGCCAAAGTAGACACTCCTTTTCGGGTGGTCACATAGTGGGAAGTGGCCAGGAAATGGTGTTGCAAGGCAATCTGATGGGCATGGCGCATCACAATTTTACAGATTTGAATGTAGAGCTGCAGCATGAGGGCAAACATAAGCAAGAAAGAGACTGAAAGGACTGCTGCATTATTTTTAGTGAGCGGTCTGATAACACTGCAGGTGGATTCATCTCTGAGGCAGTTCCAGCCCATTACAGGCAGCAGTCCAATACAGATAGATGCTCCCCAGAGCAATATAAGCATGACATAGGTAAAAGTGACAGTCCTCTCTGAATTATAAGTCAAAGCGTAATACAGGGAGAGGTAACGATCAACAGTAATGGCCAGCAAGCTGCCAACAGACGCTGAGAAAGAGGCAACAATCAGTCCAATCGTAACCAGTTTCGTAGCTTCTGATTGCAGAAGGTATGCAAAAACGAAATTGATGATCAATCCAATGCCCGCTAAGAGATCTGCCAGCGCCAGGCTGCCTATCAGGAGGAACATGGGGGCGCGAAGACTGGGATTATGGAAAATGATAAGAACCACAATAGCATTTTCGCAGGAGATAAGGGTCCCTGAAGTACACAATACAATGTCCCAGGGGTTTACCAAAAGCTCTGGCTCTGGATCTACGACAGGAACCAGGGAGGAGCCTGCAGCTGAGGCATTCTCGGTAGAGCTGGCTTCTACATGATCCTGAGGCAGCCAGCTCAAATTAACCTTCAGATCTTCATTCATTTTAACCCCTGTCTTCTTCAACAGAAAGACATTTTTTTTTAATGTTCAGACACAGCACTGGATACAGCACCCCCAGAGCATGCAACGCCCTAGACAGCAACACCAATCTAATGTGCAGGCAGGCACTTGTTACATAAACGTGACAATAAAAATAATAATTAAAAAAGGTGTGTGTGGGGGAATATTTAAAACTGCCCGAGATTATCTGCCAAGGGACCGACACACGGAGGTAGAGTGATCCCATCGGTAATTCCCTTCACCTGCATAGGGGAGAAGGCAAGGCACGGGAGGGAGCCCATAAAACAACTAAACACCCACCCACCCTCGCCTTAAGCGCTGCAATTTGGGGTACGGGCCAGCTGTGGGGCGGTGTAAACCCCCTTACTCAGCAGCCACGATTTCAAAGCGGGATTATTTTCGCTCACGGAGGGAGCGACC